AACTGCATACATATGAACTTTCGGTTTATTTCCTTCAACTTGAATGTTAACAATGAGCAATTTAAGTACACATTACTTTCTTTAGCACAGGTTTATATTAATTACAACACAAATTTTTATGTTAGATGTGATCAATACTCAGACGCTAAGATGACACAATGACAATGCATATTACAAATCGCGTGAACAAAAATATAAAATAAAGTGACGGTAGGTCGTAAACAATAACTGAAGAAAACATTAGATTAAAAGACAAAATATTGACATTGGAACAGAAACTTATGATCATGGAAAGAAAGAAAAGAAAATACAAATTAGTCTTCTTTGGCATTGAGGAGAATGGCAAATCAGAAGCGGAACTAGTAACACATTTAAATAGCCAGGAAATCAGCAATATATATAGAATTGGCAAGAATAAAAATGTTAAAAACCGCCCTGTCGTCATCTCCGTCACAACGCTGTGGAAAAAACACATGATTTTTAAAAACAAGTCAAAGCTGCCGCCAGGCATCTATATAAAAGAAGATTATTCTAAAGAAGTGTTAGAAAAGCGCAAGCAATTACAAGCCCAAGTGAAAGAGGAAAGAAAGAAAGGAAACATAGATTTTCTAAAACATGACAAAATAATAGTAAAGAAATCATCAGAAATAAATAGAGAAAAAAGAAAAAGAGAAGGCCACGACTCACCTTCGGCATCCCAGAAAAAAATCGACTTAAAAGACAATCCAGCTTCTACATCAGCCAAGGGAAAAGAAATCCTAAAACCCAACATACTTAATTACGTTGAAAGAGGAAGATCTGCTTCAATGTCAGAGATTCCAAAAAACCTGTAATGACCACCGATACTCGAAATCAACTTAGAACAATTAATACCAAAAGTACACATACAACAATTGAAAAATGCACCCCAAGCCGGTTGGTCACCGTGGGGAAACAAGACCACTACCTTTCAGCAAATGAAACACCTAAAGATAAAGAAAAAGAGAAACCTAGCAATAACAATATACACATAGCCACCCTAAACACACTTTCATTGAGGACTGCAGAAAAACTTCTCGAATTAGAGATAGCTTTGGGTAATATTAAATGGGACATTCTTGGTATGAGTGAAGTAAGACGAATAGGAAACTGCATCGAAGAGTATGACGACTACATTCTGTACTATATCGGTGAAACCAAGGGTCAGTATGGAGTGGGATTTATGGTGAAAAAACATCTAAAGAAACAAATCATAGAGTTCAAAGGCATATCCGAAAGAATAGCTTTACTAAATATACAGCTACAAGGCTATAGAAACAAGTGGACTATAGTACAGATATACGCGCCAACAGAAGCAGCAGACGAAAAAATAAAAGATGATTTCTACAACCAACTTACAACTACACTAGAAACTGCCCATAAAAACGTTATCGTCATGGGAGACTTCAATGGGAAAATAGGTAAACAAAAACATGGTGAAGAGACAGTAATAGGAAATTATGGCATAGGAAAAAGAAGCAAGAACGGCAAGAGAATTGTAAATTTGGCCCTGGAGAATAACTTAACCATACTAAATAGCGTTTTCAAGAAAAGAAAAACCAAGAAGTGGACTTGGATATCGCCAGATGGAAATTACCGAAATGAAATTGACTTTATAACTAGTAATCAACCCGAGTTTTTCCGAGATGTTAGTGTAATAAATAATTTCAATTTCAATAGCAACCATCATATGGTCAGAGCAGTACTATTTCACAAACAACAAAAGAAACAACGAAAACACTTTCACCAGAGTGAAAATACCTGCAAGACTGATACAACGTCTCAAAGCAACGTAACAACCGGAGAAATAGACAAAACACAAGAAATTTACAACATAGAAACTAACGATATTTATAGAAAGAAGAACAAATCAGCAAAAAACAAAAATGCACTGAGCTCGAAAACAAGAGATCTCATTAAAAAACGGAAAGAACTGCTTAAATATAGAAGAAATAAAACAACATTACATGAAATTACTGAACTAAGTAAGGAGATAAGTCGCAACATAAAACAAGATAAGTCGAATAAAAGAATAAAATGTGTCCAAAATCACATTACAAAAACAGGAGGTATCAATAAAGCACTTAAAGAATTAAAAGAAAAACAATGCTATGGGTCCCGAAAATGAAAAGCAAAAACAATAAGAACAAAACAAGAAGACAGCCAATTTTAAAGATAGCGACAGACTATTATCGGAAATTATACTCTACCGAAAATACCTTAAAATTAAACATAAACCTTGAAGACAAAACAGAAGAAATCCCTCCGATTCTTGAAAGGGAAGTTCAGCATGCGATAGAAACACAGAAAAACGATAAAGCTCCTGGACCTGATCATATAACCAATGAGATGATGAAAGCTACATTGCCAGAAACAACAAAAAAACTAACTAACTTGTTTAATCTTATCCTAAACACAGAATCCATACCTTCACAGTGGACAATAAGCACTATAATACTCATCTTTAAGAAAGGAGATAGATCAGACATAGGAAACTATCGCCCAATAAGTCTCATGTCCAACATATACAAGGTGTTCTCAAAAATAATACTGAAGCGCATTACCAAAAAACTTGAAGAACAATAATCAAGAGAACAGGCTGGATTTCGATCGGGCTTTGCAACAATTGACCACTTACAAGTGGTAAAACAGCTCATTGAAAAATGTCAAGAATACGATTATCCATTATACATGGCATTTGTGGACTATAACCAAGCGTTTGACAGCCTGGAACATCAGTACATTTGGGAAGCCCTGAAAAATCATGGAATAGAAAATAAATATATAAGGATAATAAAAAATGTGTATTCCAACAGCAAAGCACGAATCAAACTAGAAGCAGAAGGGGAAATATTCCAATACACAGGGGAGTGAGGCAGGGAGACCCACTCTCACCAAAACTTTTTTCATCCGTGCTAGAGGAAGTCATCAGGAAAATGGAATGGGACAACATAGGGATTAACATAAATGGAACACATTTAAATCATTTAAGATTTGCAGATGACATAATACTTATAACAGATAACTAGGAAAGCCTTAAAAACATGCTCCAAGTTTTATCATGTGAAAGTAAAAAGGTGGGACTAACAATAAACAAAACAAAGACAAAGATAATAACAAACAGATCCCAAATAAGTATCTCAGTAGATGAGGAGGAAATAGATTATGTAAATTCCTATGTATACTTAGGCCAACTTATCGCCTTCAACAACCAAATGGATTCAGAGATTGAAAGACGAGTAGCCAATGCCTGGAAGAGATTTTGGTCCCTCAAAGAAGCGCTAAAAGGCAATCAATATAATATTGCAATGAAAAGGAAAGTATACAATACATGCATATTACCAATCCTTACCTATGGGTGCCAGACCTGGGCAAACACACAAAAACAAAACCAAAAACTGATTACATGCCAAAGAGCCATGGAGAGGAGTATACTGGGTTACACAAAAAGAGATAAAGAGAGCTGTAGATCTAGACAAATTACCAAAATTGAAGATATAATATTTAAAATTAGAAAACTCAAATGGAGATGGGTAGGCCACATGATGAGAGAGAATAGAAATAAATGGACGAAAGATATAACAGAATGGACCCCTAGATACCAAACAAAAAGAAAACGTTGGTCTGATGACTTAAAAAAGCATGTGGGTCCAACATGGCACAGAACAACTGAAACAAGAGCAGAATGGAGAAAGCTGGAGGAGGCCTTCATGTCGCAAAGACACACCGACACGACGCCCGATAACATCATACTTACCTAATAATATAATATCAACTAAAATTAAATACATATGATATTAATAATGTATAATAGTAATTCAATAATGTTAATAATGAATTTAATGTTAAGGTCAATTTTACTTTAAAGTTATATATTTTAATTTGCATGTATAATTTTAACTATGAAATGATAAATTATGTATATTGTGTTGGCAATAAAGGCTTATAAGATAAGAATTCCAAAGGCATTTCCGAAATCAAAAAAGGTTCAAGCTTAACTGACAAACTTAAATTGAAAACAAAAAAACAATCAAGTACCAAACATCTACTCTCAAAATAGTGAAATTTATTTTTATTATATTATTGAAATTTATTAGAAAAACAGTCTAAAAGGTTGAAAGCTTAACCCAGACAAATGTCCTAAATTGAAAAGAAAATTAAAAAATTAAGTACAGGATGTCTACTTCATAATACTAGACCAAATTGACATACAGTGGATATCATTTATTACAACCTTGGATGTAGTGACCATTTACCTATAGCGACGTTAAATCTAAGTCCCTTGAATTTAAAGCATAATTTAGTACAAAATTCATATGGCTATAGCAACTTTGGATGTAACACCGAGTTCGGGTGTAGCAACTGTTTTTAATGAATCATTTGTAAGAAATTCCTAGAAATCCCATGCAGATATTGCGACCGGAGTTGGCCGCCAAAGATGCAGATTTCTACTTTCACAACCATTTCTTATCTTTTGTGTACGTCCACACAGGTGGTCAGCAAGTGTGGAGACCTTTACCTTTTGTTTATAGACAACAGCTAAGTAGGTAGGGAAGCGTGTATATTTCAGAGTTAAATTTATGGTTCCGTTACAAAGTGATATTCTGAGTAGGATTTTGAAATGTACCAGTGAATAGCTATGTGTAGCAACATTCTAAATAATAAATGAATATAAACTATATACATGTGTACATGACTGTATCTCTTTACCCTTGCATATAACGACTTCCGGTTATAACGACGTAAATAGAGTGATCCCTTTATCATCATTATACCTGAAATTCACTGTATTTGCATTTCGTTATAAGCAATTTTAATGAAATTTATTTTTATCGTAATTAATTCAAAACGCATTTCCCACATCTAAATACAGTGTAATAGGTTTAAGCCCTAACAAGCTTCCTAAACTAAAAACATTATTAAAATCAAGTACCGGACTTCTATAGCCAACCCATATAAAGTTATTCCATTACAGTACATACGGTTTATCAACTTGCAATCTTCGAGCCTTATTTTCCTTAGCCGTTATTTCCTCAGCTCTAGTCACACTTTGGGCTCTTCTGTATCTAAGAGCCCGCTCTTCCGCCTCTGTAGCCATTTTACTTTAATGTAAAGACAGGACCAACTGCGTGATAAGGAAAACGTTGTATAGTCATGATTTATAAATCTCGTCATCATAAAAAAGAGTTACTTCGCCCACAGTAAAACTTACGTATACCTACCTCACATACGATTCAAGATACGACGAGATACAGTACGACTGCACTAACGGTTACCAAGCTTATCAATTTTTTTCATAATCTTATTAATTATTATAAATGAGTTTAAAGAAATAGATAAGTATGTACTTAAGTAATAGATAAATTCCAATGACCAAAGAACTTTTTTATTGGAGTTAGACAATTGTCTGTCTGTTGTCATGAAATATGTTTTTTGACATTTGATAGCTTGCTACATATTTATTTATCTATGACATTTGATGTCATTTTTTTTTATTAACTGGCTTTACGGCTCTGGGATCTAGTCCGTCTGAGCCTATCATTTCTTTCGGAATCTTCATTTTATATAATTTTTCTTCACAATATGCTGATGCGTCACATTGCGAAGCCCTTGGGAGATTTTGACGACAGCTCAACTCAGCGGACAGTTGTGACGACAGCCACTCAAGTTCATGAGGCGCCTAAGCGATCAAAATAGCATGAGGTTTATATCGACATCAAAGCACTTGTTTTGTCGTTTTCTCTAATAGTTCACATGTGCGGACACTTAGTTCACAAAATCGCATCACTTTTACGAATCAAAACCCACTTCAAACCATTATTCAAGAGACAAAACAGGAGCGACAATCCGTCTACGGCCAAGTTCCCGCCAAAACTCTTTTGATTTGTCATCGCAGCGGTGATCAAAGAGAATATAATCACAACTTTTTATATTTTTTATTAGGATAGGATTTATAACGCTGTTACACTATCCTCAATCAAATCCCTACGCCCTTGATCAGGGTGGTGTAAGTAAGGGAGTAAGGGTCCCTAATTAGGGCGACAAAGTTGATCCGGTCTGCAGTTCCCTTACCACCGTACAGTCACAAACTATAGTACGTGCCAAGTCGATTGAGAAAAACGGACAATGACCTCAGATAAGAACCGAGTGTCAAAAGGTGTAACTTACAAAATCTCAATTTAGATGTTATAACAATATTTAAATATTGATATTATTCACACTTCTAGGTCAGCACATATGTTTTGTTTTTTGTTTCTTAAATAATATTGTCTGTGCTTCCTATAAACATCGTAAAATCTTACGATACATCGCCAAAATGTGTTATATTTTATATTTCAATTTATGGTAAGTAACACAGCAATTCATTTAATAACAGTTTCATATAAAAAAATGAAGCAATATAATCACCAATCATCTATTGGGGGATCGATCACTTCGCCAAACAGTCCGAGACTGCCACTCGAGAACCTTTTGTTTCCATCGGTTGTCGGTTCTTCGAGCTATACGACCAGCTCACTGCCACTGCAGCTTACTAATCCGTTTGGCTATGTCAGTCACCCTGGTCTACTACTGGTATCCTTCTTTCTAAGTTTATTATGCAGAAAACCCCGAGCATAGCCGTCTCTGTAGCTCGCTGAGTAACTTTGAGCTTCCTCATACGGCCAGCAGTGAAGGGTTTTTTAATTAAAAAAATTATGATTTTATTAGTTGATATAATTACGGCCAGTTTTTGAAAGCCTGATCAAACTCAGATTTTAATTGAAATTTAATCAAAACGTTGGCTATGGCTCAGCAATAAAAACACTAATGCGTCAGTAGCTTCACCGAAATTAACGGATGTAGTATCAAACCCGTAGTAGACATAGCCATAATGCCTTTAGCTGCTAGCATGGTATTTCATTAACTGCTTAATTCTTATTTCATCCATGATCTAGGTATAATAAAAACGCTTTTTTAGTTTACTTTTCCTTGGTGGCACAGTCTGTTCACTTAGATATAGTCGTTTTTGTGCCACGCTGCTTTAGCACGTGCCGCATTTTGTCAAAGGTGAGACATTAAAGTTCGTACTGTAAAGCACCCGAAACGTCGGGAATCGAAAGTCAAAATTAAACGCGATAAAATCCGTAAAATTTATTTAATTTAATGTGTAGTGTTCGTGTAAATATATCATAATTGTAAACATGTCGAAACTGTAAAATATTTTCGATAAGAATAATATTGGTGTCAAGGGTAATCATCATCATCATTATTACAGCCCTTCACAAGTCCACTGCTGAACATAGGCCTCCCCCAAGTAATGCCACAAAGCACGGTCCTGAGCCACCTGCATCCATCGACTTCCTGCATGTCTTACCAGGTCGTCACTCCATCTAGTGGGGGGTCGCCCTACACTACGCCTACCGGTACGAGGCTGCCACTCGAGAACCTTTCTTCCCCATCGGTTATCGGTTCTTCGAGCTATATGGCCGGCCCATTGCCACTTCAGCTTACTAATCCGTTGGGCTATGTCGGTCACTCTGGTTTTACTGCGGATATCCTCATTTCTGAGTCTATCACGCAGAGAAACTCCAAGCATAGCCCTCTCCATAGCTCGCTGAGCGACCTTAAGCGTCCTCATACGGCCAGCAGTGAAGGACCACGTCTCAGATCCGTAAGTCATCACTGGCAACACGCACTGGTTGTACAATCTAGTTTTTAGAGATTGAGGTATACCTGACGAAAAGATATGTCGTAATTTCCCGAACGCTGCCCAGCCGAGTTGAATCCGTCGATTGACCTCTCGGTCGAAGTTGGACTTACCTAGTCGGACTATTTGTCCCAGGTAAACGTACTCGTCAACAACTTCGAGCATAGTGCTCCCAACAACTACCGGCTTAGGTGTGACATGGACATTAAACATGATCTTTGTTTTGTCCATGTTCATCCTAAGACCTATCCGTTGGGAGACACTATTGAGGTTATTGAGCATAATGCTTAAGTCCTCCAGCGATTCTGCCATAATGACTATATCGTCGGCAAATCGAAGGTGAGTGATGTACTCGCCATTGATGTTAATACCGTATCCTTTCCAGTCCAGTAGCTTGAAAACGTCTTCCAACGCAGCGGTGAAGAGTTTCGGGGATATAACATCACCCTGTCTTACACCTCTCTGCAGTTGGATAGGTTTCGACCTCTGGTTCTGTACTCGGATAGCCATCGTAGCCCTACTGTACAAACACTTCAGCACCTCGATGTACCGACAGTCAACTTGACACCACTGAAGGGACTGTAGCACCGCCCAAATTTCGACGGAATCAAAGGCTTTCTCATAGTCCACATATGCCAGGCAAAGTGGCAAATTGTACTCTTCGGTCTTCTGTACAATCTGCCGCAGGGTATGTATGTGGTCTATGGTACTGAAGCCTTTTCGGAAACTGGCTTGTTCGGGAGGCTGGAAGTCGTCGAGTCTGCGTGCGAGACGATTCGTAATGACTCTCGAAAATAGCATGTAGACGCGGCTCAGAAGGGAAATCGGTCTGTAGTTCTTCAAGAGAGCGTTGTCGCCTTTCTTGAAGAACAAAACCACCGCGCTTCTGCTCCACGCCTCCGGAGTAGTGCCACCATGGAGGACGGAATTGAAGAGCTTCCGAAGGACTTCAAGTACCGGTTTTCCACCCGCTTTCAGAAGCTCCGCTGTAATTCCATCCTCGCCCGGGGCCTTGCCGTTTTTAAGGTGGTGGAGAGCCATTCTAATCTCGCTCAGACTGACGTCCGGGATATCATCGGAATAGTGTCGGATAAGACTTGCTCTTGGATCGTTACTCACACTTGCGTGTGGCTCCAACGATGATGTGTACAGCTGCCCATAGAACCTCTCAATCTCACTCAAAATCTCAGGTGATGGAAACGATGTTGCCACACTCAGTCTTCAGCTTTGACAGTTGGCTCTTTCTGGCAGACAGATCTCTGGCAAAGACTTTGGAGCCCTGGTTCCGCTCGATCGCTTCTTTAATACGAGAAGTATTAAAGTTGCGTAAGTCTCGCCGCATGCATTTGGAGATCTGTCTGTTCAGTTGCCTGTACGCTGTCAAATCTGTTGACGATTGCAGCCTCATCTCCCGTCTAACAGCCATGAGATTAAGAGTGTGATCGGAGAGTTTTTGTGTTCTTCTGCGGCGGGTCTTGCAGAACTTAGCTCCGACCGCATGGACAGTTTCCACGAGCTTGTCGTTCATATCGTCCACTGCATTGCAATCTTCTAGGCACTGGAAGCGGTTACGTAACTCGAGCTGAAAGGTTTCGGGATTCTGGATTAGATCACGAGGGGGACGGAGTGTTGACTTCATTAGACGCGACCTCTCCAACTTAACGTTTAGGTTCAGTGTGCCTCTAACCATTCGGTGATCGCTGCCAGTTTTCACCCTTGCGATCACTGAGACATCACTGAACAGTTGGCGTCTGGTCGTCATAATGAAGTCAATCTCATTTTTTGTCGAACCGTCGGGGCTCGACCAGGTCCACTTCCTGTGGGGCCGCTTCTGGAAGAAAGAGTTCATCATGAAGAGTCCCTCTTTCTCCATAAAGTCGGCCAGCTGCTGGCCCCTTCGGTTCCGTTGCCCTACTCCAAATTTCCCTACCTTCAGCTCACCGCTTTCTCTTGTGCCTAGTTTTGCGTTGAAGTCTCCCATCAACACCGTGTAGTGGGTTTTGGAGGAATGTATGGCTCTGGAAATATCCTCATACATTTCCTCCACCTCCTCATCGGGATGTGCCGAGGTTGGTGCGTAAACCTGAATGACCTTCAGCGAATACCGTTTGGTGATTCTGAGTATCAGGTACGCGACCCTCGTCGACACACTCCCAATCTTTACAACGTTGTTGACGAGAGACTTGTGGACGATAAATCCGACACCTCCTTGGGACAGATGGTCGCCCTCCCGGTGATAGAACAAGTTGCCGGACTCGAGGATTGCCGTGTCCTCCCCCTCTCTTCGGACCTCGGATAATCCAATAATATGCCAGCGCAACTTGTCTAGCTCTTCTTCCAGCTCTAGTATCTTCTCGTCAGTCCTCAGGGTGCGTGCGTTATATGTTGCCAGGTCGAGGGTAAGGGTAATA